CGCTCCCTCAGCGCCGACCCTCCGACGGCGCGGCGCTCCCTCAGCGCTGACCCTGTAATCTCTCTGTGTGTGTGTGTGAGAGATGGTGAAATGAGGAGCCGTGTGAAGGTTATATCAGGTATTTATTGTGACAGTTTGAGTGAAGATTAGCCTGAGGCCCTGACCCTTTGGCTCCCTGGTCACCCGATGAGACGAGGTTTGCATTTGGGCTGACCATCCGGCGAGTTGCCCCCCTCTGACCTGGAGCCCGTCTCTTGCGGTGGTTGCGCGACCGGCTGGGGGCACACTCGCAGCTTCTCGGTGCCCCCTGGCGATGACCTGCGGCTGGCGGGCTCAGCCCCCGAGGGGTATTGCTGGGGTAACGGGTGATGCGGCCGAGTGCCGCTGCCACTTTGGGCGGCGGATCCAGCCTGGCCTCCGCTGCCCGGGCACGGCTCCAGGGAGACGGGGCTCGTGAGTTTGTGCGGGAGGGTCTCCTTCTCCCCCTCAGCGCTGTCGGGCTGGCCTGGCGCCTCCTCCCCCTGTGGCGGCGGGGGGGAATCCGGGAGCGAGGACTGGAGGCGTCGGCATCTCTCCTCGTCTGTTTCTATGGGGGGCTTCTTCCTGCAATGCTGCCGGGCACAGGGACAGACACAGAGAGAGAGAGACACGTAGTCACAGAGAGCACGGAAACAGACCCTTCAGCCCAACCCGTCCGTGCTGACCCAATATCCGAAATTAATCCAGTCCCATTTTCCAGCATTTGGCCCATATCCCTCTAAACCCTTCCTACTCATGTACCTGTTAAGGTGCCTTTTAAATGTTGTAATTGTACCAGACCCCACCACTTCCTCTGGCAGCTCGTTCCATACACGCACCACCCTCTGTGTGAAAAGGTTGCCCCTCAGGTCCCTTTTAAATCTTTCCCCTCTCCCCTTAAACCTATGTCCCGCTAGTTTTGGACTCCCCCACCCTGGGGGGAAAAGACCTTTTCTATTCACCCTGTCCATGCCCCTCATGACTTTATAAACCTCAATAAGGTCAGCCAGGGGGAACGGTCTCAGTGTGTCCAACCAGAGGGAGACAGGGACAAAGAACTCAAAGGCTACAAGAGAGATGGGGGGACACAGCGACTCATTGACATTCAGACCCTCCGACAGTGCGGCGCTCCCTCAGGATTGATCCCTCGAGTCATACAGCGTGGGACCAGCCAACCCGTCCATGCTGACCACGTTCCCAAACTAAACCAGCTCCTGGCCCATATCCTTCCAATCCTTTCCTTTCATGAGCTTATAGCAATGTCTTTTAAACATGTTAAGTGTATCTGCATCCTACCTGTTTCTCTGGAAGTTCATTTCACACATGAACCACTCTGTGTGTAAAAGAATGTTGCCCCCTCATGCTCTTTTTCAGTCCCCCCCCTCTCACCCGAACACTATGTCCCCCAGTACTGAACTACCCCTACCCTGGGGGAAAGACCTTGGCTATTCACCCTGTCCATGACCCCTCATGATTTTATAAACCTCTATAAGGGCACCCCTCCGCCTCTGAAACTGCAGGGAGAAACAAATGCTGATCCCTGGTGACTGGTTTTGATGTTGCACGTACCGGGAAGAGTAGGTGGGGGACAAAGCCATTGGAGACATGGTTGAGTGGCGAAGCCTTCACCTGGTCGATCAGCTTCTGCGCTGCCTCTGGATGTCGCGCTGTGGTGTGAATGTACGGATTGGGAATATGATGGGGCATATCCCAAGTGCCCATGAACGTCCCCCAGGGGCTTTTCTGCAGGTAGAGGGACAGCACGGGGTTAGATACAGAGTAAAGCTCCCTCTACACTATCCCCCCATCAAACGCTCCCAGCACGGGGTTAGATACAGAGTAAAGCTCCCTCTACACTGTCTCCCATCAAACACTCCCAGGGACAG